TCTCCCTTCCTCTGAGCTACTCTGCAGGATGGGGGGGGGGGGGGGGACCTATTGTTTGCCTCACTCCAGCTGTGCACTCTAGTTGCTTGCTGGCTAACTAAGACTTTCTTTTTGCCTTCAAATTGGAATTTAGTAATTCAGTACTAGGCTCTATTCCAGTGATGGTGAACCTATGACAGAACTCATTTTTCTGGTTGATTTTTCTTTGTTAAATGGCATTTAAATATACAAAATAAATATCAAAATATAAGTCTTTGTTTTACTATGGTTGCAAATATCACAAAATTTCTATATGTGACATGGCACCAGAGTTAAGTTAGGGTTTTTCAAAATGCTGACATGCCGAGCTCAAAAGGTTCGCCATCACTGCTCTATTCCATCCCCTTCAGGAACCCCAAGACTGCCCAGGAATCTCTATTCAAGTTCTGACAGTCCACCTACCCATCCTACTAAAGTACTAGAACAGGGGTGGGCAACCCCTGGCACGTGTGCCAAACATGGCACGCCAGTAACTTTTGCTGGCATGCGAAACCCTCTCTTATAATCTTCCATTTACAATTTTTTTCTTAATATCGACTTTTTTATTTTTCAGATAAATTCAGTGTAGGTGCATCTTAGATAAATAAATAATTTTACATAACAAGTTATCTTAAAGACCACAGACATGGATTGACGAGAGAGGGGAAGAGCAATTTCAATAGTGTCGAAAATGAACTATTGAGGACTCGGAATGCCATTCCAGAAATTTTTTTCTGTTTAAAAAACTTTGCAACAGCGTTACTCTCCATGTTTTCATCCACATACACTTGTGAATCTTTGTTCTCAGTGATGAATTTTGTTAAGTCTCATAATGGGAATAGCCTGACGGATGAAAGTAGTAGCTCGTGCATATCTCTGAAGGTCACGAAATATAAACCTGATGTAAAATCTCTGTCATCAGTGATGCAGCAGCAAAAGTCCCACTGATAATGTCAAACGGAGTCATAAAGTTTTCTGTCGGACTATCAGTGTACATGTATACATTAAAAAATAAATGTATTTTTCATCATCATATACTGTTTTTGTTGCTAGAATGAATTTTATTATTTCTTCAAGGTTCTTCACATATGTACACCTTAAGAGATATCAAGTAGGCGTAACATGTTCTCAAAACATTAGGGTTGGCACGCAGAAGAATTCTGAGTCAGAGATTTTGCTGGTTTTGGCACGCACTCACAGCAAGGTTGCCCACCCCTGTACTAGAACCTACAACAGGCGACGAGTCCTCAACTTCTGACTCATTTTCCCTAAACACTGAATGATTTCATTTCTAAACTGACTTTACTACAAACAGATCAAACAACGTGTAAGCCTTTCAACCGCTTGGCTCAAAGAACCAATTCACCCAAAGAACACACCAGTCACTGTTGTGGGCTTCAAAAGAAGAAAATGGCATCTTCTTTATTTTAGGTCACTGCAACATGGCTCAGGAGGGCCAAGTCCAAGGGGGCCTTTCAAGTGGACAATCTGGTCAAGGTGAGGCTGGAAGTAGCTGACCACTAGAAATGAACGGCCCCAGCAAAAGGCAAAAGGCAGTTGCATCCCTCGGTTACATGGCAGTCTGAAGATGCAGACATGGTGGGACTGGGCCCACAATGGTCATTTATCTAATATGATGCACTGAGTGAACTTTTAGCACCAACCCACATCTCACCTGAGTGTTATTAGTCACTAGGCAGACTAGACATGAGTGAGTAGAAATATTGTAACATAAAACCCACCTCCTTACAAAAACTTTAAACTAGATCTTGATGGTCATCTTTATAGACCAACGGGGGCATGTTATTATCATTTGCCCACCTTTCAACCCTAAATTCATGCACAGGAGCAAAGGAGGATTCATATACTGAAACACATTTGGGGTCCTCGTTACACAATTTTAAATAGTAGCATATCCAAGTCCTGTAAGGAAAAAGGTATGCACTCAATTATAAACACAGAGGTTGAGATTTGCCTGCCAGAAAAGACCCATATGACCACAGCCACCTCCTTTCCCATTCTCAGCTGGGTGACTTTTTAATTTAAATTACAATAGCCCCAGTAAAATAAAATAAATAAATTACAATAGCCCATCAGTAGCTACAAAACAGTAAGTGTAAGACTCTAGGAAAGGCCATAGAACGGATCAAAAGGAGCATCCACCTTGTTCTTACCTGCCTACCTACTGTGAGCCCAGCCTGGGCTCTTTCCGTTCTCCTTTTCGCTCACTGGGCTCTGGGTAATTGCTGCCCCTTCCCTTCGTTGCCCTACCTTCACACCCTTCTCCACCTCACCTTTCCTTCCCATTTCCCAGAACTTGCCATAGTTACTCCTGCTAGTTCCTGCACTAGCCACCTAATCCCAGAGTCCAGAATGCTCCTGCCCTCTTTGCAGCGCTAACTACTTTTTTAGTTAAAGCTCAACTCAGTGTCACCTCCTCAGAAAGGTGTTCCTTGACGGCCTGCCAATCACTGTCTGTCCCATCACTCTCGTTTTCTTTTTTTTAAAAAATATATTTCTTTATTGATTTCAGAGAAGAAGGGAGAGGGGGGAGAGAGAAACATCAATGATGAGAGAGAATCATTGATCGGCTGCCTCCTGCACGCCCCCTACTGGGGATCGAGCCCTCAACCCAGGCATGTACCCTTGGCCGGAATCCAACCTGGAATCCTTCAGTCCGCAGGCTGACACGCTATCCGCTGAGCCAAGCCGGTAGGGCCCATCACTCTCGTTTTCTTTGGCACGCATCAAAACCTGATTTATACGTTTGTTATTATGTGTCCCCACCCGGAACCTGATGGAAGCTTCCTAAGAGTGGACATTATGCTTGTGTTCATCTTTGAATGCCCAGGGCCCAAAACACCAGCTAAGCACTTAGCCATTCACAAATGCTTCTTGAATGAATGAATTCTGGACCTTTTATTCAATGACTCCAGAACAATTAAGGTGAGAGCAGCAGCCACTCTTTTGTTGCATTTCTGTGAAACACCTAAACATGATGTTACTTGTAAAATCAAAGCATTATATTGTTTTATCAGACCCAGATGAGTAGGTTAACAGTTCTCCCAGCAATATGCACACACAGGGCCAGGATTTATGCTCTCTCTCTAACACAAGGATCCCCAAAATTAGACACTATCTCTCAAAGTTCTTCAGAAAACAGTTCCAGATCCAACAGAGGATTTCCAAAGAAAATATCAACAACGAAATAGGATTCATCAGATGTCACAGGCTGAAGGAGCACATTTCTTGGGGTTGTTCTTTTTTTTTAAACTAACTGACAATAAAGAGACCTTCTTCCCAATCATTCTTTGCTTTCTTCAAATAATTTTTTCACATCTGTTATCGGTTTGTGTTCTTGCTTAAAGCAAAACTAAACAGGTCACATTTTCTCATTTAAAAACACCTATACAAAAAGAATCAGCGAAGTAAGATGGCAATCAGCACAAGCCGAGTGTGTCACTGAAAACCTGTGGGCCAGACACACAAATGGGGGGGCGGGGGGGCGCTACTGTCCCAGCGTAGAAAAAGTAAAATTGGGTTTTCTGTCCTCCGAGATGCATCACGAAGTGTGGGCGGAGAGAAACACAGAAATCCAGAATTAGCCGAACATCAAATCATTTTGGGAAGAGTTGACACCATGCACATTCCTCACCCGGAAAGTATTCAGAGCAGGAGACCTGATTCCTGGGCTATGATGCCATTCAGGAATCCTCTCAAGGGCTCTGGGTTCCAGCATTCACAGGGGAAGGTTCCTCTGACTCGGGGCTCCCGGGCTCCGATTATTTACAAAGCTTGCATTTAATCGAAGATCTGGATGGAGGCTGAACGCCAAATTCAAAAGAGGGGGGCCAAGGTGCCGAGTTCCATAAAGAAACACACACCCGATCACCACCTCACCCCAGAGAATTACAGTGGAGACCAGGGTGCGCGGGAGACGGGAGGATAGGGGTGCGGGGCGGTGGGAAAAGCAACACCTGTGTCACCCCGTCCCGCTTCCCACTCAGGACAGGCAACGCCTCCAGCCCCCCTGCCTCGGCACCGATGGAGATCGCCACGGCCCAGGTGCAGAGGAAGGGAAGGCCTTCGGGTCTGAGCCCCTTAATCCCGGGCTGTTAATGATTACAGAGCGGGATGGGGGTGGGGAGGCCGCGAGGGCGGGCGGAGGGAGCGAAGACCCCCCGCCACCTCCCGCCGCGCCGCGCTCACCGGGCGCAGGAACCGAGTCTGCACCCTCCCGGCGGCGGGGTGGAGGCGGAGGCCGGGCTAAGTTTCCCGAGCCCGGGCTGACCCGCGCGGGCTCCCCTCGCCTCCTTCCAGAGGAACCAGTCCAGACAAGGCGCGGACTTCCACTCCTCCCGTCCACCCCCTCCCGAAGGTACCCAACCCCCGCCCCTTCAGCGCTCCCCCTTTTCCTCGATTCGGCCCCCCCATAACTCACAGTTGCTCCAGAGGTTCCTCCAGTGAAACCCTTTCTGGCAAGGACGGCGGCCCGGCGGGTCCAAAGCACCTACCATCCCCGCTCGCGTTCCCAGACTCCCTGCCCCGCCGCCGCCGCCGCCGCCGCCACCCCAGCCGCCGCCGCCTCTTCCCCCGCGGCCCACCGGCCGCGGCCGCCCCGAAGCCCCGCCCCCCCATCGCCGGCGCATCATCACTTCCGGTAACCCCGCTGCCGCGGCTCCCGGAGGAACAGAGGGGCGGGGGCGGGGAGCGTGCGTCACGACGTACGCACGTAGGCAGCCGTCGCCAAGTGAGTGCACAGGCCTGGCCACGTGGAGGGCGGGCGGCGGGCGTTGGGCTGAACCATTGGGGCTGGAGGGGGGGCGTGCAGCGGGAAGGGGGCAGCGGGAAGGGGACAGCGGGGGGGTCAGGGGGCGGGGGGCAGTGGGCTCCGCTGCGGGAGGGCGGCGGGCGGAGGAGGCGGGGCTAAAGCGTGCGATTCAAGGGGCTCGGACGACCGCAGACCTGGGTCGGCTCTCCCGGAGGTCCGCCGTGGTGCGGCCCGGCCGCAGGGCCAGCCGAGGCGTGCGCCGCGCTCCGTGGGCTCCCGCGCTGCCTCCTCGCAGCGCGCCGGGCGCCCGGGGCTTCCGAGGGTCGGGGAGGCCGGACCGGCGCGGCGTGAGTGCAGGGGACGGAGACGCGGGCTCCGGCGCGGAGACTAAGCGGACGGGCCGGCTCCCGGGCAGGCTGGGGTGGGGCAAGGGTCGACGTTGCTAGGAGACGCGCCTGTGTGACCCCAGCCCGGCGGGGCGGCTCCCGGTGGCGCCTCTAGCCTCGGGCACCGGCCCAGGGAGCGGCCCGAGGCCGGGCGGGGGAGGATTGCGGGACGCTGGGCGCGGGTTTGCAGCCGGCCGGAGGCTGTCCTGAGTCCCCAGTCCCCGAGTGCGAGGGGGAGATCGGCAGGGGCCTGGCCGGGGGCGGGACGCTGACCCCGACGCCGCGGGTGGGACGCAGCCTTTCTAGGCAGCGAGAGCCTGCGCCGTAACACCGTTCGCCGCAGGGCTGTCCAAGAGAAAGTTAAAAAGTAGATCAATAAGGAAGATGCCAGCGAGCGAGCGCCCCCACGGCAGTGATGCCCGATGGGCTGGTGGGGAGGGGGAGCGCTCCACGTCGGGTGAGGTGGCTCCGAGGAGAGGGAGCTGGCTGGGGGGCTTTCTAGGGGAAGCAGCAGGCAGGGGCCGGAGGAGGGAGCCGGAGGCGGCCAGGGGCTGGGGCGGAGCCCTTGGCAGAGGGTCGGTGAGGAAGGAGCAGGGCTCGGTCGGACAGCCGTGGGCAGGGGCAGGTCTGTGTATGGCCCCGGAGGGTTCGGAAGGGGTGCCGTGGTCGTAGTGACCCAGATGTTCGGAAATCACTCGTGGCTGCTGGGTAGAGAAGGCGGAGGCCGGCAGCCACGGGAGAGGGGCAGGCAGTGTTGAGTTGCATTGGAAATGGAGAGTTAAATTCACAGCGCATTTTTTGCGTGTTTAAAAGAGAACATTTATTTTAAAAGTTACGAGACGAAAGAAGGGCCCTTGGAGCTTAAGAGCGATCATGGCAAAGGTACCCCTCTTTGGAGGGGTCTTCGGAGGGGCGCAGAGTATTTTGGAAGTAGACTTGCGGGACTGGCCGTGAGGGGTACAGGAGAGGGAAAACAGTGGGTGGGAAACCCCAAGCTCTCCTGGAACATACTGGGTTGGCTGAGTATTAACCATCCAGGTGAAGATGTTGAGAAGTTGGATTTGCAAGTCGGGAAGGCATAGAGACAATCAGTACAGGTAGGGACGTATTCCTGGATGGCCTGGGCTCCTACACGCCTCCTGGGGGCTCTTTGCATTTAGAGATTACCCAGAGAAGAAGCCTGCGAAGGAAACTGACATAGACAAGGAGGCCCCCTTAATATTCTGGGAAAATGGGGCCCACCCTCCTAGTCAGTGGGGCTCATCCACCACTAGCAGCTTCTGCTTCCCCTCCCTCCCCTGGCGCTGTGCTTTGGGACTTGTGCCCATGCGATTTGTGTCCATTATAGCAAACCTGGCTTTGCTTGTTTTTATGTCTGTCTCCCCCTCGGACTAGTCTTTGTGTCCTGCTGGCTCCTAGTGGAGAGAGAGCCTTACGCAAAGGGCTCACCATGTCGCTCTAGCGAGGTCTGAACAGTGTTCCTAAGATGCCAGCCACAGACCAGCAGCTTCTGCAGGGGCTTTTGTCCCTGCTGCCGCCGCCGAAATCTAGATGTGGTCAATCTCCTAAAACCAGAAGAAGACTGGGAAGGCCTGGGTTTCAGCCTCGGATCTGCCGCGACACCGAGGAAGAGCTGCGGTGGCCGCACCGTGGCTGTGGAGAGGCCCTGCGGTCTGAGCAGGAGAGGCTGGCCAGATAGAGCCTGCTCACTGGCGAGACATGTTGCCTGCCATTGTTCAGCCACAACGTGACTTGAATTAATTTTTAAATTTACTTACTAACTTTTAAAAATTGGGCATTTGAGGTCTTGCTCCCCAGCATGTTGTCAGTTTGGTTCAAAGATTAAAATTTTTTAAAATAAAAATTGGACATTGAAATCCAGATTTTCCACTTCATTTGAAAAATGAGATAATGTGGCAGCACCAGCCTGAGGTTCCGACCCAGCACCAGCCACCTGGAGCCAAGGAGCTCTGCTGCTTTCCTGTGGCTCAGTGCTCGTCGCCTAGGCCAGGGGTGGGCAAACTTTTTGACTCGAGGGCCACAATGGGTTCTTAAACTGGACCGGAGGGCCGGAACAAAAGCATGGATGGAGTGTTTGTGTGAACTAATATAAATTCAAACTAAACATCATTACATAAAAGGGTACGGTCTTTTTTTTTTTAGTTTTATTCATTTCAAACGGGCCGGATCGGCCCGCAGGCCGTAGTTTGCCCACGGCTGGCCTAGTCTCTCCCCCTGTGAGCATGGGATTTGCAAGGTCGGTCTAGAGCTGTGCTGAGCTGTGCTGTCCACATGTAGCTATTTCAGTCAAATAGAATTTAAATTCAGTTGGGCACTCACCATATTTCAAGTGCCCTAGAGCTGCATGTGGCCAGTGGGGTATTTTTATCACTGAAGGTCCTGGGTGCTAATGATTTCACACTGAAAACTGACAGTCCTCGTTCCTACTGGAAGGAACTTGGTGTGGTAAGGAGCTCAGTGCCTCTAGGCGAGCCAAGTTGATTTGATGGCTGAGGGTACTACTTGGAAACTACCATGGCAGGCAGGGGCCCTGCACACAGGGAGCTCTGTACCGGATGGTGGGCTTAGCCTCAGGGCTGGAGGGCCCCAGCTGTATCTAATGTTCGGGGCAAAGTCCTTCTGTCAGGTTCCTAACCCAGCTCCTTAGAAAATAATCAGGAAGGAGGGATCTAAACATTCATTTAAATTTAAGTTTCATCTTGGCGGCTTCCCTAATTCCTGTGATGAGTGGGAATCCCGAGTAGTTGTGAATGAAGGAGTGGGGTTGATCTTTGGCATGGACTGAGTCTTCATCTGTCTCGGGCCCACACACACCTCCAACTCCTACTTGTAACTGGTTCCCAGCCCCTCTGACTGACCCCTTACCTGGTCTTCGTCTCAAAATACACAGATAAGGAACCAGATACTTTTGACTTGAGGGCAGAACGTTGGTTTTTATTTAGAATTGTGATCCTGGAGGGGAAAACAGCTGTAAATGTCCCAGATAACATAGCCTGATTGGTGTCCCCTTACCAGTGCAGTTCCCTCCCTGGTATAGTTAGAATGTGTTAGGTTAGGTGGCTCAGGAGGCGGCGTAAGAAATAGAGTCCAGTGAATCATAAAAGAAAGAAAAGGAAAAGGTTTATTGTGTCCCCGGGAGACCCATGTACCCCAAAGACAGGGCACGTAGATTCACGCCAACAGGGAGGGGGGCGCTGTTTTTATACTGCGGTTGGGTGAGGGGTTGGGTGAGGGGCGGGGACCTGAGCTGAGGGATTCAGCTGAGGAAGTTCCCGCTGCAGGGGGCGGCAGGGTGTTCAGGAAGGAGTCAGTGTGTGGGGGTCGTGTTGATTCAGGGAGAAGCCAGTATCTGTGTCTGGCGCGCTGATCCGTTAGAAATGCCAGGGGGAGTCCATTATCTCATCACATGTCTGCATGTGTCCGATCCTGGGCTCTCTCCGACCTAGCAGAATGAATGTACTTAACCCATAAGATCTTGTTGGGAGAGTTTAAGTCTTCCAGATGTCAATAGTTCTGTGTGTTCCCTGTGTTGTGAAGATTCCCATATTACAGGGCCAAACCTGACTCCTTTTCCTTTAGGTAAAATTAAAACATGATCTGCCCTCTACTGCCTGCCCCCTTCTCAGGCACATGACGTTGTCACTTTCTTTGTAAAAAGATACTATTCAGAAAGTAGCTGTGATATGATTAAGGATGCCACACAAGCTTATCCTGAGATTTGCAAAATTGGGTGGCATTGTACTTCCTTTTTTGGATTCTAGTAACCAAAACCTGAACCAGGAAACAAGTCTGTGGTGTGTGTTTGGGGGGCGGGGGGGGGGGGGAAGGGATGGCTGATTGATGGAGGGGAGGAGGACAGAGAAGTGTGGGGCACAGTGCAGCTTGAAGGCCATTGGATTTGAGTGAGGATGACACCCATGGGATATGGTGTACACCAAGCTGTAGGGAGTATCTGGGACCTAGGAAAAAGTGCCCTGAGGATAAACAAGGAGTAAGAGATAAAGGAAGAAAACTAGGACGGGGAGCCTGCTCCTGCCTTTGGTGCTGGCATCTGCATTATGTTTTCAGTAGGAAGTACGCTCTGTGGTCTGAAGATAAGCAGTCCTCCAACAGGGCCAGTCACTCACACTGAAGAACAAGAGTCCTGTACATACAGGGGTTTGAATGAGCAGGGGAAACAGCTTTAGGAAAATCCTTTACCATCACAAAGCAGTACGTCTGCCAACAGGCCTCCATTTCCTTTCCTCTGCAGACAAGCTCAGCACAGATAAATGACACCTTCATGTCCTGTCCTGTCCTGTCCTGTCCTGCCCTGCCCTGCTGTTAGGTGGCGTTGGCCTTTGTTAACACCCCTGCGCTAAGTGATTTGCATGGATTATCTAATGAATGATTCTTACTACAACTCTTTGAAGAAGGTTCTGTTGTCGCCCAATTTTACATTCATGAACGTGAGGCTCTGGAAGACCTGCCAGTGTAGTGAAGTCAGGATTTGTTAGTTCATTGCTTGCATTATACCGCCTCTTTCTTACGGATGTGGAAAAACCTACTCTGCTACCAGGGCCAGCTTGCTTTAGTGTTAGAGCATTTCAGCTCCCTAGAGGTTCTTCAAATGAAAGTTTTCTGGGTTAGTTTTGACTCCCTCATCATTTGGGTGTGATGAGCCTTATTCCCCCAAAGGATTGTTTTTTTTTAAAAAAAGTATGACAACCCCATTTTCCTTGTATGTTTGGTTCTAAATTGCACAGAAACAAAGTCGTTTCGGTCCAGTGGATGAACCCTAACGGGCCTTAAATGAACTGAGTGAGGCTTCCCTACAGCCCTGCGTCTCACACTGCCCATCATGGAACTGACGAGGCTCCTCCCCACAGAACGCCGGCCCACAGCGCCGCTCTCACACTGTTGTGAGGGTTAATTCGTATTTTTAAGGGCTCTCGGGCCTCCATTGGAAAACCTGGTCCACATGCCACCACCTGTATCTTAAGATGAGAATGGACGTTCGTGTGTGTCGTTTATTCTAACAAATGTACATGGTATGTCAAAAGTAGGTTTACAGCACATGAGGCGGAGTTTCTTTTTGTGTTATTGTATTATATTCCATACAAACAACTGTAAACCTACTTGTGCCCCATCCTGTATTTTAAGCTCCAGTTATGTGCCCATCTTAGGAGTGTAATGAATGAAACATACAGTGGGGCCTTGACTTACAAGTGTCCCGACTACCGAGTTTTTTGAGATACCAGCTGTCTCGCAGCCTATTTTTTTGCATTGAGTTGATAGAGTAATTTGAGTTAACGAGCTCCTTAACGAGCTCGGTCTCAGAACGAATTAAACTCATAAATCAAGGCCCCACTGTAATCCTAATCGCCTTCCCTTACAAAATGTGTGTTTTATAGGTGGAAAGTGGAAAAGGCACCCATTAAAAGTGAGGGGAGCCGAAGGGTGAAAGTCAGCGCTAGGCATAGCAGTGGTGTGAGTTGGGACCTTCATTTGGCAAAAAGCAAGTCCCAGATGGAGGAGACAGGGCCGCAGGACCCGGACCAGCCACCACTGGTGCACAGCGAACACGGAAGACTGACTGCAACAGATTTCACAGTCTTCTCCTTCTGCCCACCCCTCAGTCATAAAGTCCTTGGAAGAGAAGTTTGATTACATTCGTCCTCATGGCTTGCACTGCAACACTTTTTCTTCAGTAGAAGGCAAAGCCTCCTGAGAGCTCAGCTTTGGGAATGTTTACATTCCTGAGACCAGAGTCGTGCTCTAAATTTGGTCAGGAGAAAGGGCATGTTCATCTCTGCTCTTCAATGTCCATATTTACGCTGCAAGGTCTTACCCTGGCGGGGGAAAGGGTGAAGTGGATGAATCTCCCCTGGGCCCCCTGTCCGACCAAGGCCTGCACGTGCTGGGTGAAGGGTGCTCCAGATCCTGGTGGTCCGTGAGGTCCGAAAGGTTGGCGACAGCTGCTCCAGAACACCTGCGAGTCGGGGAGCTGGGGTGTGGGGGGGAGGGGGAGGGCAGGTGGCAGGCACACAATAGCCATTCCAAGTGGATGGCTCAGTGGCAGGAATGTGCCTCAGCAGCACCTTCTAATTGCTCTTTCAGGCCCACTGTCACTGTTTTTACTGTTATTTACCTATAAAACTAGCTTAAAATGTTTTGTAATACATTTATTTAAAGGAAGCTATATCACTACAAGATGAAATTACTTTAAATCATGGTTTGGTGGGCAGTAAGAAAATATTTTTATTGTACGTCACCTCCCCAGCCTGCCTCTGGGACGCCTGCTGTAGGGGAAGCTTCTCTGATGCTGACCGAGGCCAGTGCAGCAGCAGCAAGCCTCATCATCCTGATCGCACCACACAGGCTGCACCCGGCAGGTGCTGGTGACTAAGCTTGGGACTGCATGTATGGGGTACGATTTTAAGAAAATAGGCCCCTTTCCAGTCACAGTTTCTTCCATTCACACTTCATGTCTTATTTCTTCTTATTCTGGGATTTGGGATTAAGGAGGTGAAAAGAAGCAGAGTTTAAAGAAATACCTATCTTCTATGTATCTTTTATACTAATAAAAGAGTAATATGCTAATTAGACCGGGAGACCTTCTGGACAAAGCCTGGGGCTTGGCCAGCCTGCAAACTGCCCCCAGGCCCTCGCCCAGGCCACCTGCTCCCCAGTGAGGACCCCCACCTCGATGGTGTGGCCAGCCTGCAAACCCCTGGCGGCCCCTCGCCCAGGCCGGCCTTGTCTCCCAGCGGGGTCCCCCGACCCCGATTGGGGTGTGGCTGGACTGTAAACTGCCCCAGGCTCCTCACCCAGGTTGGCCCCGCCCCCCAAGGGGACCCCCACCCTGATCTGGGACCCCCTTCAGGGCAGACCAGCCGGCCCCCACCCATGCACCAGGCCTCTATACTAATAAAAGGGTAATATGCTAATTAGGCCGGACGTCCTTCCGGACAAAGCCATGATGGTGAGGCCAAGGCAGAGGCAGTTAGGGGTAATCAGGCTGGTGGGGGAGAGCAGTTAGGAGGATCAGGCTGGCAGGCAGGTGAGCAGTTAGGAGTCAGCAGTCCCAGATTGCAAGAGGGATGTCTGACTGCTGGTTTAGGCCGGGATTGGGCCTAAACTGGCAGTGAAGACATCCCCTGAGGTGTCCTGGATTAGAGAGGGTGCAGGCCAGGCTGAGGGACATCCCCCTCCCATGCATGAATTTCGTGCACTGGGCCTCTGGTATGTGTGTGTGTGTGTGTGTGTGTGTGTGTGTGTGTATGGCTAATATGCAAAGTGTCCCTTGTGGGGGAGTTTTACTGGAGATCGGGAGTTTGATCACTCGCTATGATGTGCGCTGACCACCAGGGGACAGCGCGGAATGAAGGAAGGCCCCAGTGGGCAGGCAGGAGGCCCCGATTGCCACCAGGCCTAGGGACCCTACCCATGCACGAATTTCGTGCACTGGGCCTCTAGTCAATCATAAGAATGAAAGTTACAAAATTTTTACTGTAAAAATTATGTAAGAATAGACTTCACAGGCAGTCCATACTGCAGTTCAGTTGTGGACCGCTAAACAACTTCATATTTCTGATGTCCTGCAGGAAATCCTAGCAGACCCCATTGCATCAGATCAACCCCTGAAACTAGAGAGGAAGGAAAAGGGCTGTTGGTTCTGCATCAGTGAGAGGTCAGTGATGGTTTGAGGAATAAATGTTGGTGTCTAGCCATTAAATCCATAGGAAGGAAGACTTCTAGGGAAAAGGTACTTTTTCTAAACAAGTTACTTTCTAGGAACAGAGACAAATATAAATCAAAAGGATAAGAACTTTTAAAATTTTTTTATACATGGCTGATGATGTTTCTAGAATCTCAAGCTTCCATAGCATGAGATTTTCATTTATTCAGCAGACATTTGTTGACTAGCAGTTTGCACCTTGCCAGGTGCTGAGCATTCAGCGGTGAATACGATGCATGTGGTACTGTCCCCATAGAGTTTAGAGTCTATGGGGGAAGACAGACATTGACAGGCCATTTCTTGAGTGATCACTGCTACAAAGAAGAAATACAAGGTGCCAAGGGACAGTTCAACAGAGAGACCTGATCTGGCGTATATGGTGAGGCAGAAGGGGATGGGGAGAGATCGTCCGAGACCTCCATGTTTTCATGGAGAACTAAAGGATGACTAGGGGTTGGTAAGGTACATGGGAGGGGGTCAGGAGAGAGCCTTCTAGAAATAACAGATAGGTATGTAATCCTAAGATAAGAAAGAACATGAGTTCCCCAAAGAACTGAAAGATTCTAATAAGAACAACAGAGGCATTCTTTTCCTTGTTTTTTTCACACAAGAGTTAGAAGGAAATGGTAAGCCAGACTTGTAAACAGTACACACCTGGCCCAGCTGGTATAGCTCAGTGGTTGAGCATCCACCTTTGAACCAGGCGGTCACAGTTGGATTCCCAGTCAGGGCACTTGCCCAGGTTTCGGGCTTGATTCCCAGTAGGGGGTGTGCAGGAGGCAGGGGATCAGTGATTCTCATCATTGATGTTTTAATCTCTCCCTCTCCCTTCCTCTCTGAAATCAATAAAAATATATTTTTTTAAAAAAATAGAACACCATGGGAAACCATAGAACATTCTTTCGGGAAATCTTCATAATTTCTATCCACACAGAAACCCTCTTTTTTTTTTTTTTCCTTCCTCACCTGAGGATATTTTTTTTGATTGTAGGGAGAGAGGAAGGGAGGGAGAGAGAAACATTGATTGGTTGCCTCCCATATGCTACTGGGATTGAACCCACAACCCTATGTATGTGCCCCGACTGAGAATTGAACCCAAAACCTCTTTGTTGTACAAGATGGTGCTCCAACCAACTGAGCCACCCAGAAACTCCCATTTCTTTCACATGATCCTTTCTTATTCCTCTCCATCCATTCCTTTCCTTAATAATTGAACCCGTGGGACACCAGGGTCAGTATCCAACTGTCTTAAGAATAAAGCCTGAGGTCTGTTGACCACAGAATGTTGGTCAAGCTCAAGATAGCACCTTTTCTTCAAATAGGTTTCAGTCACAAGTCATGAAACAGTAAGACCATGGGCACCACACCCTCATGAAACCAGACAGGACCTGATACAGTGATGAGTAGGGCGCTCACTCCCACTCCTTCAGCCACCATGATCATGACCTTTTCCTGTAGCCCATTTCCTGGGAGCCACTGGGAGGCTAGGTCTTTTAGCATTAATTGCCTGTGACTGGGCTGGGCACCATCTCCTCACTTGTAAACCTGTACGTACTTTCTTTGCTGCAAACTCCTGTTCCCGTTGGATTGGGCTTTGATGCATGTAGGTAAATGGACCCTTTCAGTCCAGTAACATGTAGGCTTTCTATGTCAACTGATGTTGGAGAGGAGACATCACTTACCCCCTTTCAGGATTAGTTTTCCCAGCACTTAAACATTCAAGGGTTTTGAAAATAGGCCTGTTAAGCACCAGTTGTTCTGCTTGTTACCGTGAGTGCCCTAATGCCAGAGCTCCTGTGTCAGGTGCTGGTGTATCATCAGTTGGAGCTCGGGCTGAGGTTCTCAGAGGAGAGAAGGAAAGCAGTTAAATTCAGACGCAGCAGAGCTGCTGCGGTGCTCCTATGCCAGGCCCTCTCCTCCAGGTCCTGCTAACGGAGGTGAGGCATCTTTAGTAGAAGTTTGTTACAGACGCCCTGCCTCTCACAGGAAAACACGGAATTTTAGGGAGAGCAGCACTCAGAACCCTTTCCTCAGCAGGAAAACATCATTCCCTCTGGGTTTTTATTAACGATTGGCCATAAAGCATGATGTTCTCTCTTGGTTTTTATTAATTCCTTTTAAGCAATTTCTCTGAAGCATCGTGGACGTCAGAATTGGTGTCGACTCTTAACCTCAGTCCTGTTAACTTGAATTGGTGAAGTTGTGCTTTCAAGCTTTTCATCAAACAGTTAAGCCTTGGTTCAGCCCTGGTTGCTCAGGAAAAGTCGCCAGGGTCGGGATGAGTAGGAAGGGCAGTCACAGTTGAAAGAGAGGTACCCTGTGAGGTGAATTCCTTGGAAGCACTTGGAATTTCTGGGCCGGCCCCTCCTTCCAGCTCCCATCTACATTCTTTAGCTGCCCGAGTTCTCATAGACCCCGGGCTGCCTGGCACACTATCTCCATCGTCCCCTCCCTGCCCCTGGTGAGCTGTCTGGAAAGCCAGGGTCCTGGAGAGGAGGCCCTGTGCCTGGCCACGTGCTCCCTCTCTGATCTGTTCTCCCTCTTCTCCGCTCCACGTGTTAGAGGCGGGGCAGGGGCCATGCCCTAGGGATCCTCCAGGCATGGGCCTTCTTCTCTGATTTAAAGTTAATAGCAGAGAAACAGGCTGAAGTTTTTGCCCAAGTAAAAGAAGCAAGTACCTAACGTCCAGCAGCAGGAGAGTGGACACAGGGTGACCAGACAGTGGGCCGAATGGCAGTAGTGAGAACAGATGAGCTAGAGCTAAAGGAACAGCATGATGGGTCTCACAGAAATGGGCAAAAAAGCAAGGGATAGGAAGGCAAGGCCTTGCCCATGCACATGGAGATACAGTTTAAGAACTTGCTGCGCAGCACTATCTCACGCTGCCTACAAAGACATGTGAGAGAGACCAGTCAGGCTAGGGTTCCCTCTAGGAGAGAAACGGGAATTGGACTTGGAAGAGGGACAGTGAGGGTTTCAGCCATACAGTTTATCCTTTAAGGTTCACTGTGAGTCTGTGGCTGTTAATTGTATTACTCTCTGTATCATTTTGTGTGTCTGGAATATTTCAGGATATTAACAGGAATTTTTTAAAATACAGTTACTTTAGGGAATGCATTTAGGTGGGGGTCTTAGCCAGGTCCTCTCAACATAAAACATTGTTGTCTCAGAGTAAAACCCAGAGGGGCCACGGACTTCAGTCGTCACCGAGATTTTTAGTTCTCTGCATGCGCAGTTCTGTGGACAAGACGTAGACCAACAGCGCAAGAAATCTTTTCAACAAGGTTATGATGAACTAAGGTGGAACCGAGCCTGCAGACACAACTTGCTTGGCCTTCATGGTACTCACATTTTCCAAAGTAATGAATTCATGTCTTTTTTGAGATTTCATCTTTTAAAAATCTGGAAGGCCACCTAGTAAGCTATCCGGAGGTCCAGCATCGCCAGGCCCTTGTTTCTACGTGGCAGACACTGGCCGGGCTGAGAAGCGGCCTTTTTAAGGGGGCATGTCCTCTCCGTTGGCCACTGCCCCGCCAGCCACGTTCCCTGCCGGCCGGCCCTGGAAGGACTTGAGTTAGCAGCCCCTGCACTAAATTCAGTTGTTAAAAATGTGCCTGCTCCTTGGCCCCCAGGGCAGTGGTGTAAGTTACCAGCGTACACACCGAGAGCCTCGTCCCGAGTACTCTTTCCAGCTTAAAGAATAGTGAATGTGCATTTCGGTTTTGCCATGTTTGTGAAAATGGCTGTCGTAGGAAACAGCCCGGGGAGCAGCCTCAGCCACGCGGCGACGCGCAGGCCAGCGCCCGCCCATCAGTGCCACCAAGCAGCTTGCTTGAGAAAGCAATTTTAGTCTAAAGAGCTTGATTAAAAAATGCACCTCTTCTAGCTGCCTATTCTCAGGTGGGGTTTTCATGCAAATGTTCCCTTCTACTTCAGTGAGTGCGAGGATGACCACAGCCACAAGACAAGAAGTGCTTGGCCTGTACCGCCGAATCTTCAGGCTTGCGAGGCAGTGGCAGGCAGCGTCAGGGCGGGTGGAAGACACCGCGAGAGAAAAACAGTACATCCGCCACGAAGCCAGGACGCTGTTCCGGAAAAACAAAAATGTGAGTAGCCTCAGTCGGAGATCGGAGATCGGAGATGGCAAGGAGAGCAGCTGCTTGTTTGTCTGTTTCTCTCTGTCCTAAAGCCGAGAGGACAGCAGTCACAGCGGCAGAGCGGCAAGCAGGAGAGGCTCAGCCGTGGAGGCTCTGCTGGGTCTCCCCTGCACGTGCCTTCGGTCTCGGTCGGGCTGCCTGGCTCAGCGCCCGCAGCAGGCTGAGCCACAGGCATCCGGCAGGAGCAACCCCGCACCCCTGCGCCTGTTGTGGGCCACTCCCAGGGGAGGGTACACGGTTTGGTTTTGTTTGGTTTTGTTTTTCAGTTCATAAACTAGGCAAAGCCTCCAAGTGTAAACCCATTCTGAGGGAAGAGACTAGAATTAAGCACAGGATGCCCTTCATGACCTAGCTTTGCACTCAGGCCTCTGGCCAGCAGAGTGAGCTTGCCCTCTGGGCCCACAGAAGGGGCTCAGTAGTGCCTAGGAACTGTCTAATAGCAGTGCACCCCCGATAGACCCCAGGGCCAAAAGCCACTTCTGAGGGGCTCCATTCAGTCACCCCAGGAAGCCCTCAGGCATCACCTGGAGCTCCTCAGGAAGACGGCCTGGCACAGCGCACACGAGCGAGGCTTCCAGCTCCCAACCTCTCTGGCCACCTCCGCGTGATCTCATGGATCCCATGCTGTTGAGTTCCTTCATGAAACTTCCTTTATTTCATCCACTCTGGCCCCTGCCTCAGTCTCCTTTCTGACCCGCCTTCTCCACACCCCTGCTGCCAGCCATAAGTCCTCTGAAGGTCAGCGTATGTGCTGATGTCCAGGACCGGCAGCTGCCTTGTGGTTCCAGCTCCCATATGTGAACACCCAGCCTTGGCCTTTCACCACCCACCTGAAGGACATCCCCCAAGTACAATGGTCATGTGACCCTCCAGCTTCTCCACTCTCTGCTCCTGGTGCACACCATGCGTGCCACACCAGCGTACACGCAGCCCCAAGGTCCTTAAACTGCCCTGGGAGGAATGGAATCAAATACTGCAAGTGCTGTTTCTGTTTATTTTTATTGCATCGTTTCAAAATGTCTGCTTTGTGTATAATGAAATTATTAGTGTATTTAATGAACTTAATACAGTGCCTTACACTCCGGAGGTCGCTCACGGGCCTGCCTTGTGGGTGTCATAGATTGACCAGCGTTACAAATACTTTGACTCAATTCGCCTTCAGGAGGCCTTCCTCAGTTTCTCTGCTCTCACCTGACCCCAGGATGAGCCCTGTCCTGAATTCCGATATGGTAGTTGATTGTGCACCACTGTGCCTTTCTGTAGCTTTAGGTGTCAGGTTGTCCTCTCTGGCAGTAAAGGCAGGGACCATGGCCTCACAATGCCCAGCGTGGTGCTGGGGGTGCCACAACAGCACGTGCCCTGAGGACTTGCCTGAGGACTGCTAAGACCCTTGGTTTCCAGTATGGCAGCCATCAGTCCCTCACTTGCTGCTGCTTGCATGGGCCCAGTGTGGTGGGGGCGGAGGGCGCATGTGTGCAGTGGCGGTGCAGAAGTGAGATTTTTATGTTGGGGAGGTACATGGGCATTTCATTTTAACATATGTGCTTGTTTTCCTATGTATAGAAAGAAAATAGAGTATCAGGTACTTTCACAATTACTATGCTTAGAAGAGTCCATTTAAAGAAAAAGTTTATTTTTATTTTTTTAAAAACTTTTATTGATTTCAGAGAGAAGGAGAGTGGGAGAGAGAGAGAAACATCAGTGATGAGAGAGAATCAGTGATTGGCTGCCTTCCGCACATCCCTCACTGGGGATCGAGCCCACAACCTGGGCATGTGCCCTTGACCGGAATTGAACCTGGGACCCTTCAGTCTGCAGGCCGCTGCTCTGTCCACTGAGCCAAGCCAGCCGGGGCATAAAGAAAAAGTTTAGTGTTAGTGTAGGTGGTGGGGAGATCAAATCATGCAGGCAGCCTCTGAAAGGTGGAATTTGGAGAACTCTAACCCAAACTTGTTCAGATGGAAGCTGGAGCCCAGGAGCCCTCGGCCCCGTGGCCATAGCTCTGTCAGGGCTTTCTTTATCCCCCATTGCTCATTACAGACAGACATACGTAGTTTCTTGTAACCACTTGCTGTAAGAGCTTGATAATAATCCAAAGGTATCTCATGAATTGCTCTGAATCCTAAGAGGCAAATGGGAAGGGACATGGACATGTTCCCAAGGTGGGCATCAAAGCAACAGCTTCTGAGAAGCACAGAGATCAAAAAGCTGAGCCTCTGCCCAAGGGACTGCACTGGGGTCTGTGCACTGCAATTCTCATGCTCCAGGAGGTGCCACAGGACACAAAGGCACTTGGGCTTTCCAAGCCGCGCGGCCCAGCCTTCCCTGTGGTGTCCTGTGGGGCTGCTGCAGCCCAGCTCGGCTCTGAGGCCACTGGCAACTGCTTAGCAGCCTGCGTTGACTCGCGGCATCTCAGAGTGAGGGGCTCTCTCCCCTTCACCACCAGCTTTCTGTTGTTGAGAATGAACTTGTCATTCTCTTACTTGAAACTGGACTACTACAATTTGGCCATTTTAGAATTTCAGAAGCCATTTCTTCCCCTTACTAATGAGCAAGGCAATTCACAGTTTAAAATGAGAGAGAGATGAATCATTCAGTGTCTAGCAGCACTTGCTGAGACAATTGGGTTACTTTAAAGTTTGACCAACGTGCGAGGATGTGAAGAAGTGCTGTGGGAATGTGATTCATAGCTGCTTGAAGGAATTTAAATCCAATCCCTTAGAGCAGCAATTTTCAACGAGGGTACCACAAGAATTTTTAGTTATACTTTTTCTTTTTTAATCCTCACCTGAGGATATATTTTTATTGATTTTTAGAGAGAGGGAGAGAGAGAAGCAACGATATAAGAGAGAAACATCAATCAGTTGCCTCCCCATATGCTCCCAGAACCTAGGTATGTGCCCTGACTGGGAATTGAGCCTGCAGCCTTTGGTGTATAGGATGACAGTCCAATTGAGTCACCCAGCCAGGGCTGCAAGAATTTTTAAAATATGAAATACCTGACTATTTAAGTCAGGGGCACTGACCTCTCTTCCTTTAGATAGCCAAATAAAAAAATGACAACAGCCAACACAACAGCTGTCCAATAGGAATGAATTAAAACTATACATATTTTTTTGTCAGCTCAGCAAAAACTACATTTTTTGGTGTGCTGCAGAATTTTATTAATTAGTTTCTGTGCCATGAGATTAAAAAGGTTGAAAATCACTGGGTATTTGAATCTAGAGGCACTATCTATGAGAATTAAAAATGCATGAACATATACCCTTTGACCCATAATTCTTCCTCTAGGAAATTATCTTTTAGATATATTTGTATATGAGCCAAAAAAGTTTAGAGGGATCCATAACATATTTGTTTATAATGGCAAAGATTGGAGATAACCTAAATGTCTATCAGGAGAAGAGTGGTTAAATTATGTTGGAATTTGGTACAGCTGTTCAAAAGAATGGGGCAGCCCTAGCTGGTTTGGCTCAGTGGATGGAGCATCGGCCTGTGGACTAAGGGTCCCAGGTTCGATTCCAGTCAAGGGCACATGCTGGGGTTGCAGGCTTGATCCCCAGTAGAGGATCATATTCTCATCATTGATGTTTCTCTCTCCCTTTCCCTTCCTCTCTGAAATCAATAAAAATATATTAAAAAAAAAAGAATGGGGCAGTTTTACATGCATAAATATAGAAGGAGCTTCAGTTTATTAGTGGAAAAAGCAAGATTCAGAACAAAGTGAGAAAAAAACCTTGAATGGATAAAAAAGGCTATAGTACATTTACACAGTGGAATAGTATGTAGCTTTAAAAAAGAGGATCCCTTACCCTTTGTAACAGCATGGATGGACCTGGAGAGCATTATGCTAAGTGAAATAAGCCAGTCAGAGACAGACAAGTACCATTTGATCTCACTCATTTGTAGAATCTAATGGACAAAATAAACTGACGAACAAAATGGAACCAGAAACATGAATACATGGAACAGACTGGCTGGTGCCCAAGGGGAGGTTGGTGGGAGGTGACTAGATAAGAAGGTGAAGGGTTTAGCTAAAGAACATATATGCAGCCCAACCAGTGTGGTTCAGGTTGAGCGTTGACCTTTGAACCAGGTGCTCATGGTTAGATTCCCAGTCAGGGCACATGGCCAGATTGCGAGTCCATCCCCAGTTGGGAGCCTGCAGGAGGCAGTGAATCAATGATTCTCTCTCATCATTAATGTTTCTATTCCTCTCTCCCTCTCCCTCGCTCAAAAAAACAAACCCCAAAAACCATATATGCATACCCCTTGGGCACAGGCAATAATTTGGTAAAGGTGAAGGAAGAGGGAGGGTTTAGGTGGGCAAAGGGGGAGTGGTGGAGGGGGACTCCTACAATAATGTCCAATTTAAAAAAATTCAATAAAAGCAAAGAAAAAAACCTACATGTATACATGTATGCTGATATATGCAGAGAATACCACTGGGAAGACAGACAAAACACTGCTAGTAATTGTTGTCCTTGAGAGGGGAACTGGGGGACGGGGGTAAGAGGGAGACTTCATTTTGTAAGTTTAGTCCACAGCAAATTTTATATTAAACTAGAGGCTTGGTGCACGAATTCATGCACGGGTGGAGTCCCTTGGCCTGGCTGGTGATCAGGGCTGATTGGGGCCCATCTTGCCCAGTCCCAATCAGGCTCATCGGGGCCGGGAGGTTAGCTGGCCAGCCCCTATTGGGGCTGGCCGCCCTGAGGGGCCAATAGGGGCTGGCCGGCCACAGGGAGGGACCTCAGGAGGTTGGCCAGCTGCAGGAAGTTGGCTGTGGGAGCGCACTGACCACCAGGGGACAGCTCCTGCATTGAGCTTCCCCCTGGTAGTCAGTGTGCATCATAGCTACCTGTGGTCATCCGGTCATAACAGTCACTTAGGCTTTTATATATATTATACATAGATTTCTTTTGAATTTTTGAATTATCAATATTTAATTTATTGAATGGTAAATCAAAAGAGTTTCAGAAAATGTGTACCAGTATTCTGTGTGGCATTAGAAAAATGCCCGTTTTGTCTTTCACCAGCTCACAGACACAGACCAGATTAAGCAGTGCATAGATGAATGCACAGCTAGGATCGAAATCGGACTGCACTACCAGATCCCGTATCCAAGGCCAGTAAGTGTGACCCGGTTAACCCGTGGTGGGTACTCATCCTTTGCAGAGTGTTTGTCTAGAACAACGGTTCTCAACCTGTGGATCACGACCCCTTTGGGGGTCAAACAACCCTTTTACAGGGGTGGCCTAAGATCATCGGAAAACACATATATAATTACATATTGTTTTTGTGATTAATCACCATGCTTTAATTATGTTCAATTTGTAACAATGAAATCAGGGGTCACCACAACATGAGGAACTGTATTAAAGGGTCGCAGCATTAGGAAGGTTGAGAACCACTGGGCTAGAAGGCCAGAGCTACTGCAGGAGGCATGCTGGAAACAAGCTCTCCTTGCATGCCATCAGCCTGTCATGACCAACCAAGATGCCAAAGAAGACTATCTCCTACGTGCATAGCTTTCCCACGTATAGAAGGGAAAGCCAGCTCGCAGTTGCATAGTGTTCTCTTTTGCTTTACACTTTTTTATGGATTTTCTTCTTATATTAGACAAGGTTGTTAATAAAATAATAAAGTTCAAACGTTAAAGGCATGCATAAGATAGAAAGTGAAATTTGTCAAAATTCACACCCCGTGGAAGTGACCCCTGTAACTATTGGGTTGACCATATGAAACTACCAATTTTCTACCCTTGACCTACAAAAAACTGCTGGTAATTGTTTCTTGAGAGGGGAACTGGGGCCCAGGGGTAAGAGGGAGACTATAAATTTAATCCACAGCAAATTTTATATTAAACTAGAGGCCCAGTACATGAAATTTTGTGCACTGGGCACTGGGGGCGGGGGTAGAGGGAGAGTGCCCCTCAGCCCAGCCTCCACCCTCTCTCAATCCGGGACCCCTTGTGGTATGTCCAACGACCAGTTTAGGCCCCCGAGGGGTCCCAGATTGTGAGAGGGATGTCCGACTGCCAGTTTAGGCCTGATTCCTGCAGGCCTATGGGAGCGCACTGACCACCGGGGGGCAGCTCCTGCCTTGAACGTCTGCTCCCTGGTGGCCAGTGCGCATCATAGTGACTGGTTGACTGGTCGTTCTGTCATAATGGTCACTTAGGCATACACACACACACACACACACACTAGAGGCCCGGTGCACAAAAATTTGTGCACTCGGGGGTTCCCTCAGCCCGGCCTGTGCCCTCTTAAAGTCTGGGACCTCTTGGGGGATGACCACCTGCTGGCTTAGGCCCGCTCCCTGGGGGATTGGGCCTAAGCTGGTAGTCAGACATCCCTCTGGCAGCCCAGGAGACCTCAGGGGATGTCCACTTGCCAGCGGGGAGGAGGCCTAAGCTGCAATCGGATATCCTTAGCGCTGCTGAGGAGGTGGGAGAGGCTCCCACCACCACCGCTGTATTGGCAACCATCAGCCTGGCTTGTGGCTGAGCAGAGCTCCCCCTGTGGGAGCGCACTGGCCACCAGGGGGCAGCTCCTGCATTAAGCATCTGCCCCCTGGTGGTCAGTGTGTGTCATAGTGACCAGTCATTCCCAGTCGTTCTGCTGTTAGGGTCAATTTTCATATTACCCTTTTATTATATAGGAGTGCCTGGCCAGCAAGGGTGAGGGGCTGATGGCTGTTTGCAGGCTGGCCACAGCCCCTTCAGGGTAGGGGTCCCCCCTGGGGTGCCTGGACAGCCTGGGTGAGGGGCTGATGGCTGTTTGAAGGCTGGCCACAGCCCCTTCAGTGTGGGGGTCCCCACAGGGGTGCCTGGCCAGTCTGGGTGAGGGGCTGAGGGCCATTTGCAGGCTGGCTAAGCCCCCCAGTGGGGACGCTCACCCCATGAGGTTGTGGCCATCCTGGGTGAGGGGCTGATGGTTGTTTGCAGGCTGGCCACAACCCCCAGGCACCCCAGATCCCAGTGGAGGCTGGCTGGAAGCAGGTATCTAGGATTTATTTGTCTGCTATAATTGAAACTTTGTTACCATGAGCGGAGGACACAGCCGGCTCAGGGCAGGCAGGAAGCTTGGCTTCCTCCATCGCCTGGGCAACCAAGCCTCCTGCTTGCTCCAGCTCCATGTCTGCTGGCCACCATCTTGGTTGGGTTAATTTGCATATAGTCGCTCTGATTGGCTGGTGGGCGTGACTTAGGGCATAGTGAAGGTACTGTCAATTAGCATCTTTGTCTTTTATTAGTGTAGATTTTTTTTAAATTTTTGAATTATCAATATTTAACTTATATTGTATTGGCTCAACTTGATAGTTTGGTAATATATCATTGTAGTCTTTTTTTCCACACTCATGTACATACATTTTCTTAACACATTAAGCGCCCATCCTGTTTTGTCTTCTGGATGGAAAGTATAGTGTCAGTCACCAGTGACTGACGGTGCTTAACATGTTAAACTACACGAGTCCTGGGTGTCCTGTTTATTGCCTGCTTGCTTTACTTCCTGGCTTCTGGGCATGTCTGCCTCTCTCTTTTGCATGGTTGCCTTGCATCCTTTTGTGAGAATGAGCCCTTCCGGTAGACGTTTAGGCTGGTCCCAGTTTGCCACCACACACACATCTTTGTGACCATGCTTCCCCTCACCTTTGCATTTTCATTTCACTGTGTGGTTTGTGGCTTTTCCCTCCATGCAGGCAACATGGCCAAGAAGAGCCCAGCTCTGGCATCAGACACATCTGGGTTCAGATCCGCGCTCTCACTTAATGTCTAATCTGAGCAAGTTTTAACTTCTAAGCCTCCACTTTCTCATCTGTAAATGCTGATATAATGCCCGGAGATGATTGTAAGGATTAATGACTCTGCAGATGTAGTGCTGAGCAGAGAGCATGGTATTTAGAAACTGCTCAATGAATATAAGCTGTTGCAGTGATTATAGTTCTTAATATTATCATTATTCTTACTCTTCTTACTCAGATTCATCTGCCTCCAATGGGCCTTACCTCACTACGAGGCCGGGGACTTCGAAGCCAGGAGAAACTGAGGAAACTTTCCAAACCAGTATATCTCAAGTCTCATGATGAGGTTTCCTAATCCAGGGAAAGTTTATTTCTCAGACGATGAGCCAACTAGGTCTTCAATGTAAACCAAACGGAAAAACCTTTCTCCTTGATTGGGGCAAAAATTCAAGTATCTTCTTTAAAGGCGCCCAAATATTGGTAATGACCTCATGATGTGTGCTCACAGTGTGTCAGGGCCTTGCTGTCTGCGGGGATGACACTAATCCTGGCGGTTGCAGACCTCACGGCCTCCCCGAGGGAGAAGACTGGAGAATGGCAAAGCTGCTCGAGGCAAGCCCTTGCCCGGCCTGTTGGCTGACACTGAGAAGCCACCCAGTGTCTGGGTTTCTCATGGCTGCTCACAAACAACCTACCTCCCTCAGAATAGTGTAGGCTTTCTCTTAAGTTATAGATTTGCTTACAGGCGGGCTTTCCCCCCTGGCTGGCGTGGCTGGATTGGTGTTGCCCTGTACACCCAAAGGTTGCCAATACCAGGCAGGGCCACGTCTGGGTTGCGGACTCGATCCCCAGTTTATGCTCTCACATTGATGTTTCATTCTCTCCTACTCCTTTCCTCTCTCTAAAAATAAAAAATCTTTTTTTAAAAAGTGGGCTTTTTGTGTGTGTTTTGTCATCTTTAGACTCTCCCAATTTCCAGACAAACACCCCTTAAAAAGTGCACCACTGGGTTCCTCATAGTTTTCCCTGGAAATGTTGAGACCCATGCCTGGCGGCTCCACACACATGCCGAGAAGCCCTGCCTCCGTTAAAGCATAGCATCTTCAGGCGTGGACTTAGGATGCACTTGGGACCAAAAGGCTCGCTTGAAACTCCTACTGCATCATTGCAAGTATTTTGCCTTAACATAATTAGAATGTACAAGGGCAAAGCTGGCTTTCAAGTTATGTCTAAACAGAAATGGAACAAGGAGAGGGTGGAACGAAGGACTTACGCTTGCGTGTGTGTGAGGGCCCACAGAAGCAGCAGTTGGTAATTCCTGCCTACACCTAGATTTAGGGTTCCCTTGTCACACAGATCCTCTCATTCAAAAAGGGCATTCTATCCCAGGCTCCTGGGAGCAGCGGTGTCGTTTTCTATGCTCCGGGTAAGTCCTGCAAGGTTTGGCAGTGAAAATGTATAGAACTCTAACTCTATAGAATACAGCATTACCCTGTTTAATACTGCCTGGGTGTAGCAGCGTGTGCAGATTTAACAATTGCAGCTCCAGGCCTTTGTGGAAGAGAAACTTAACTGTGCTGGCAGGTGTGTGGGCCATTCAGTGAGTGCGCACCCAGCCTTGCTTGGACTGGGAGTCATGAATCTGCTGTCCCACCAGTCACTCCCCTGCCATCTCGTCTCTGTGGAAGCATCTCCCTGCCTGGAAGTGCTTCTAATGTTTAATGTTTACCTTTCATTCAACACGGCCTGTGCGCTCAACCAGCCAATGAAATGGTGACCTGTGCTTGAAGGACCAAGCGACCACGGCTTCCTGGCTCCATCGCAGTCAGTAACTCAGGGTGACTGCAGTGTTTGTCTTGCTCTGTAGACCACCTTTCCCACCCGGCCTCCTCCCAGGTGGAAGTCCACCTAATTGCTAACTAGCCTCGGGGTTTCTTCTGTGAGCCAAGAATCGTACCTAAAAGGGAATGTTATATGCCTCGTCTTCTTTACAAAGATGCATTTTCTCTCCAAGACAATACGATCTCCATGCTTTGGTCTTTTAAAGGCAGAACCTATCTTCCTATATCCCTTCTCTCAATGAAATGTCCTTCCAACACTCACATGGAAACTACCAACACTAGATTTTTAAAGAGCAAAGAGTAGCTTGGTGACAAGGTTTGTCTGCTGTCACCTGCTGAGCCATTGGGAGGCAGGCTGACGTGTCTGGCCGGGATGACCCCTGGCCACCTCTGCCCGGGTGCTGGGCTCCAAGGCACCAGCTTCTGAAGAACAGGCTGCTCTTCCACGGAGAGATGTTCATGGCCATGTTGGTCCCAAGAAGCTCGCGGCAATCTTTCTTTTCAAAATGGAGGAATGTTTAAGTTATATAAAAATGCAATCCATTATACAGAAACATTCTGTCCCTTGACCCCTGAGGAATGAAATGGCCAGTCCCTGCCTCCACAGCTTTTGTTGCTGAAGGGGGAGCTAGACAACTAATTAAAATGCAGTTGTTTCCTAGCAACCCCCTCAGTGCCTTGCACTTGCAGTGTGGCTTACCTGACCAGTGCAAGGTTCATGGATTCCACCTCACAGGACTAACAATGTCACTTGGAACAGTAAGACAGCTCCAGCTCTCTAGCCATTCTGACGTTCTTTTCCACCTTGGAAAAAGTGTTTCTTGAAAAAAAAAAAAAGCCATCAATCTCCCTACCTTGAGCAGGATACCTGCCCCTCCTGTCTCCATCGCTCCTGGCAAGATCAGCACCCCCACAGGCTGTCTGGTTCGGGGGATGTTACTAACCTCCCTTGTAGCATGGTTTCTGTAGCCCTAAATGAGGATGATAGTCAAACCTACTTGATAGGGCTGCTCTATAGGTGGCTCACAGCAAGTGTGATGTCAGTGTAACGTCACCCTCACCACCTTCATCATGCCAAGCCCCTCACGAAAGGGCCACCAGGCGGCAGTGATAAATGAGTGCCCTTTATTTCTGTGTCAAGACAGATGCCTCAGTTATCCAGCTGGCACAGGGAGGCTACCCCGCGGTTTATCCAGTGCTTCTGGGGCCTGTCCGTGGGGAGTTCGATGGAGAGGACGTAGTTGGTAGAGTGGCCCGTGGTGGACAGGATGCCCCTCCGGGCGCTTGTTTTATAGACTGGACACTCGTATATGTCCTGGTGCAGAAACGCTGCACTTTTCCCGGGCTTCAGCCAAATGATGGGCAGTGGGTCGTAGAGGATTTTGGGGAGAGACTCCTCGATCTGCTGCGTGCTCCTGTCCCAGCGAGCGCCTTCTAGGAAGAGCCCTTTAATGTAGGCCCCATCTTCCGGGCTGCTCTCCATGGCGGCTTCTTGTGTGGTCACCTGGAAGAGGGGACTGTGAGTGCCGGGACCTGCCATTTGGAAAAGTGCAGCCTGGCTGCGATGTCTGCCCCTCCCAGGACGCCAGCTTCTGTGATGAAATGCCTGTCTGCCGTCCGTGGGCCTGCACCCTTCTATGTGGCAGGCATAGGGAAGGCACCAAATTAGGAGTCAGAGGCCACCTTCCGTGGCACTAGCGGTGACCCTCTCTGAACCGGGGCCTATGGAGTGAGAGTAGGTCAGAAACAGTTCTCTGGGGGAGAGAGCGAGCCGTGGCTTGTAGTTTGGGCCAATTTCTGTGGTCTACAGACTCCCACCATGGCCAAGTTCAGGCTACCACCTACTTAACAATCAGTTCCATCTGGCTTTGGGGACTTGGTATGAGCCAGCTCTAGTTCACCACAATTTATTTATTTTTATTGATTTTAGAGAGAGACGGGAAGGGAGAGAGAGAGAAACATCAATTTTTGTTGTTCCACTTATCTGTGCACTCATTGATTGATTCCTGCATGTCCCCTGACTGGGACTGAACCTGCAACCTTGGTGTATTGGGACAACACCCTAACCGAGTACGTGGCCAGGGTATCCACCACCATGAGACTCCGAGGTAGAAAACTCTAATTCCTTCCAGTAAACGCAGCAAATGGTTCAGGTAGGAGAACAGGGAGTGGTGGGTTAGGGTGAATCACAGAGCATAAGCTCCATTCTAAAATCACGCAAATTCTAATCGTTTTGTTATTGTCAGTGGAATGCTTATCCCATTTCTACTTCTAGTACTTATCGCTTGAGTAGGAAAGGATATTGATTTTTGTATATTTAACCAGTCACCTTACAAATTCTCCTATTCTTATATATATGATTTTAGGGTCTCTTAGAATTTCTAGGTATACAATCATTTCAAAATCAAAAAATGTGATTTTATATATTTTCCTAATGTTTATCCCAGTTATTTTTTTTACTGCATTAATTTTGGATTAACATTGTCTTCAGAGTTAAGTTTATTCACAAACTAAGTTGAGACCTAGGACAACCAGTTTGTGAAGTCTGGATTAGACGATCTCAATCAATCTTTCCACAGAGTTTAAAATTCTACAATCCACCAGTCCCTCTGCTCCCTTCTCTCCAGAGAGTGTGACAGGGTGATGCTCCACCATTGACAATTCCTTTAACTTTGCCCCAAGCAAGGGACTACCCAAGTCCATGGTCATCTCCAAATGAGGAGCCGCCACGTTAGACAGACAGCATGGGAGAGTGCTTTCACTTTTCTTGGCATAAAGGTGGCAGATTTTTCCTTTGAAAAGATAGATCCCTTTTATATAAACAGATGCATGGCCTTGGGAACCCCCTGGTTCTGGCGGAATAACTTTGGAAGTACTTTAGTTCATGCTAAGTATTTCATTCGTACATCCCAGAAGCACTTGTGCCCGCACATGGAACGTTCAGACCAGTAAGGAAACGGGCAGCACTGCCCCTGGCTGACCCCAAGCGCCCGGCCGAAGCTCCTACCTCAAACTCAAACCCAATGTGGTCGATGGGGATGGTGTACTTCCGGGCATAGTTCTGGGAGACCCCCGTCAGAAACGACTGCGTGAAGTAGAACCCGGAGATCCAAAAGACCACAGGGGGCCCGCCGGAGATCCAGTCCTGGGGCCACAGAAACAAAACTCAGTCCACACAAAGGCCAAGACAGCGTGAGGCAGGCACTGCAAATGGGTCCCACTCAGAAATACGCTTTTTCTCCTTTCCTTGACACAGGCGGCCTTCCAGCCTAGCTGATGTTCCCCGACTCAAACGAAGGCACAAAGAAACACATTTCTGCTTGAAGAGACACGCAGGGGCAAGCTGGGTCTGGGCTGAGCACAACCTGTCCCTGTAGCCGGGTGGCCATGCAGCCACTGGCCCAGTCCCCCTGGTTCTGTAGGACAAACATCTGGCCTTTTATGTCTAATAATCCAATGTTTACAGGCTAGCTCAAGAATTTTAAATTGCCAGGAGCCAAACCAAATATATAGCCAAATCTGGTCCATGAGCCACCAGTTTGTGACATTTATAATAGTTCCTACGCTTGCCTCCACAGGCCACCACCTTTCCAAGAACTCTGACTCCGCCTCCACTCTGGGGAGCCTGTTCCCGGCAGGAGTGAATCCAGGAGGCTGCGCGGCTGCCTCTCCTCCCACCGCCTCTATCTGTCCTTCCCACATGTCCTGGCCACCTGAGTGTGCATGCCGGGTGCCCGGACCCCGCCTTCTAGGCACCTGGAAGAAGGTCAGGCGGGCCAGCAAGTCGGCCACATAGCCGCCCAGCGGCTTCAGCGACGGGTAGGACTTGGCCATCCACATGGCCGGCACTTTGCCGATGAGCATGCTGTTGAAGACGTCCTCCAGCTCCGAGGACATCAGGACCTGCCCTTTGATGGCGCGGACCAGGCTGATGAGGCTCTTCCGGATCACTTTGGTCAACCTGTGAGGACAAAGGCGTGCTCAGCCCCGCCGAGTCTCCTTCCCCAGGACACGGACTCCTGGCTCCCTCACTTTCCCTTTATTTATTTTATTTTGCTTTATTTATTTATTTATTTATTGCTTAAAGT